TCACTTGCTGTTGCTCCAGTCCCTGCAGTCACCTCCCACAGCCTGCATCTGTCCCGGCTCCTGCTTTCTCTCCTCCAGCCCAGGGCCTTGGCATATGCTTTCTCGTTCTTTCTATATAGCTCACTTTCCCCTATAGCCCCTCAGTTAGAATCCTCACTATCTTTCAAAGTCAATTTCACACTGTCCTTCATTTGAGAATCTCTCCCTGATTTCCTCCCATAGTCCTAAAGGTTGCCTTGTTGTGTGTCTATTGTAGCACTTGTCTCTTTCTTCCTTGCAGCAGCGTCTGGTCGCTGTGTATACACCCTCCTCCTATTTCAGATGGTAAGCTCACTGGGGACACTAATTGTGTCTTGTTCATTTCTCTATGTACACGACCTACCCCAGTGTCTGGCATACTGTGGGCACTTCCTATGTGCCTGTCCAATAGCCTTAGTTGTAAAGTTTCTGACACCCCAAAGTGACCTGAGCTTCTTATGGCCTTCATATCACACATCCCAATAGGGAGTGACTCGTTTATTTGTTTACTCGTTTGCACGTGTCTGGCGTTAGAAGGTGAGCTCCTTGAAGGCAGGACCTTGACTGTCCTGTTGACCCTGGGGTCCCTGGTGCCTAACAGAGTCTGCTTGGGACGGCCGGTCAGGTGACATCTGTGAGATGGACGAGTGGCTGCCCTGGCTCCGAAGGACAGCATCTTCACGGCAGGAGTCTGATGCTGTTCCAAGTTGCCCTCCACCCCCTCCTGTCCCTCCTCCACCCGCATTTCTGCTCTGCCCCTCTTGGTGCAGGTCTGACTTCTCACTGCCCACCGCCAGGTCTGGGTCCACGTCTGCTCCGTAGTTTGTCTTTTCAACTTTAGTGAGAACGTTGCTTTGATCAACCTTTACATATTTGAGGTGATAGTATTATCACCCCCAAAACAAGTACTTTTACCTTTTGTGTTGAACTCTTAAAAAGTGGATTTCCAGTAGTATTCGCAATATTGAGAGATATTTCACCTTGAACAGGATGAATGTCCAAAAGCCTTACTTTGATTGCCTGAATTAGATGAGAACAGGGAACTGTCACTGCAATTGACCGTTTCCCTACTGAGACATCCGATTACACTAGTATAAAAGTGGGGCCGTTTAGCCATGAGTGACGTTCTCTCGATGGTGCTGTCACTTCACTCGGGCCTAGGGTGTGAGAAAACTTGGAACTGACAAATGTACTGGACAGGGTTCTCCAGAGAAACACAACCAATAGGATATAAATATAAAAATATAAATATATTATATACTGTTATATATATACTTATTATAAGGAGTTGGCTCACGTGATTATGGAGGCTGGCAAGTCCAAAATCTTCAGAGCTGATCTCTCAGTTTGAGCCTCAAGGCTGTCAGGCAGGAAGAATTCTCTCTTAGTCGGGGGAAGTCAGTATTTTGTTTCCTTCAGGCCCTCAACTGATTGGATGAGGCCCACCCACATGAGAGAGGGCAATTGCTTTACTCAGTCTACTGACTGAACTATTAATCTCATCCCAAACACCCTCGCAGACACCCCCGGCACACTGTTTAACCAAGATTTTAGACGGTCTTCCTAAAGGTACTGATGACCTTTGAGTTCGATGCTGATGCTTCTTGAGCAGACATGGGTCCTGCCTCTTATAGAATCGGTGACACCACAGTGGTTCTCAGGGTGGATGGTAAACACAGACAACTATTTTGTGCATGTTACAGTTCAAGATAAGCATTTTGTGCGCGTTATTATTAACTTTCTTGAAAAAGGGAAAGTTAAGAGACTTACATTTCCATTACTGAGGCACTTTCCTTTGTTGTCGAACTCATTGCTCCTGAGGATTTGCTGAAAAATGAAGATGCCATCGCAAACACAGAGATGAACAGCTGTCTGTTTACGTTGTACAGTAAGTCGCAACGTCGCTGCAGCAGGGCGGCTCCGCCACTGTCTGTGAGCCCTTCAGCAAGGTCCCTGCACATGGTGCAGATGCCCTCGCCTGCCACTCCCACCTCCCCTGACCCCGGAGCCTGGGGGCCTGGGGGCTTCATGCATCTCGTGGCACAACTGGGAGGAGCAGCAACACCGAGTCCGTCTCTTAGCCCTGCCCTAAGGGGAGAGTCAGCCGTCTGTCCTTAGTGGCCTGCATCTGCGTGCATTTACGTCCCAGGGAGAGCCACACACGCTGTCCTTGAGAGGATGACACCGAGTAGGGGAAGGGTTGGGAAGGAGAGTCAGGTCAGCCCTTATCGTCTTCCGGATTTTGCCTGAGTTTAGGTGAAAACTCGCTCATTGCACATGTGGGTCTCACACTGAGAAAGGCAGTTGTGGCAGAAGCTGGAAGCACAAGCAGAGGGTCCCCAACCTATCCTGGCTTCGGTTAAAGCAATTCTTAAGAGGACTCCATTAAACAATGACAAACCAGGCAGGACACCAGGACAATAGGAGTCAACCAGGCCCTCCCGGACAGACCTCACCTATGGGGCACTTCATCCCGGACTCCAAGGGGTGCTCCAATCTCAGCTCAGTTCTGGGGCATTTTCTCAGTTTGGGGTTTCTACGCCTGGGTCCTTGCCGGAACATGGGGCACAGCAGGGAACCTACATTCGCACAGTAGACCCAGGGTCCCCTAGGAGTTGCTGCAGAAGGCTGCTCAGAGCTGCTTCCTCAGGTGGGTGAGAGGGAGGGGTTCTCAGTGGGACCACCCATTCTCCATTCCCACCTTGATGTAGAAAGCCTAGTTTTTTAAACATCTGCACCTACTGCGTAGCTGAAACTCTAGCTCCAACCCCAGGCTTTGCAAGTTAGGGGGACAAGCCACCCTTGAGGGTGAGGGGGCCCCTGCAGGCTGAGTGTGTGGACTCCAGGATCCAGGGGCCACCTTCTCCCCCTTTCGGCCCCTGCAATACCCACCCGCTCATTGGCAGCTTGGCTGGTGCTAGGAGGATGCCTCTGGCCCGGTTGGGGCTCCACCCATGAGGGTGGTGACTGGGGGCTCCCATGGCAGGAGTCTTCCTGGGGAAGGCCCAGGTCCAGTGGGGAGGATAATGCCAGTCGTCCATTGCCCACAGGTCAGGGTCGGGATGGTCTGAGTCTGAAAGTGTTCAAAGTCTCAAAGGTCCTGAGGGTCTCTTGGGGCTCTGGCAGAGCAAGACTGGGACACTGGGTGTGGGTGTGGGTGTGGGTGTGGGTGGGATGTTTGAATCTCCCTCAACTTGGGAGAAAGGTGAGGCAAGAGGGAGCTTTCATCCCTTTTTACTTAATCAACCCAGCCCAGGGTCAACCCAGACTCCCAGTGCCTTCTGGACACTCCAGCAGTGCTCGCAGCCCTGTTTGTTCCTGGGTTGGCCAGTACACCTGATTTTCTCCTCCTCCAGCATGGGGGTCACCGGAATATGGCCTGGGCTGGAGCAGTGCTCACTTGCCCCCTCCACCACCCCTAAGCATGCACACACACACACACACACACACACACACACACACTCTCTCTCTCTCTCTCGATGCACTCACACAGGCTACAGGGGTGTTTGGGGTCCTGGTCAGGCCTTGACAGGATAGGATGGCAGCTCTCACACTTCCCTCTGGGCCATAGCGGTTTCAGCCGCACAGGGATGTGGATGCTAAAAAATGTTTATGGAGTCAGGGATGAATCGATGAATGAATGGATGAAAAATTTAGGAAAAACCTGGAACCTCCTTCCTCTGTCTAAAGAGGTATCAGGAAGCTTATCAAACCTCTCGGGGGAGAAACATCCCCCCTGGGCATCAAGGTAGACGGGGAGGGAGAATCTGGAACAGTGCTCCCGCGGGGCCCACTTGCCAGCCAAGGGTCTGCTGTCTCTTGGACTTCTCTCAGAGGGCTCCAGGGCTGGTGACATGCCATGCCCTCTCCGGGGCTTCCTCTCTCTACCTGAATCCAGCCTGGCCTCCAAAAGCAGGCTGACTTTGCCTGGAATCACATAGCCCCGGGCACATCTTAGGTGGCGAGACCCAGAGAGCAGCTGTGCAAAGGAGAGCTGGGCGTGATAGAGAAGGGAGCCTGAGGGATGGGGGTATCACCCAGTGGCCCATCCCATCATGAGCAGGGAGCATGGGGCAGATGACAGAGCTGGACAGAGCAGGTCACTGGCCTGGGAAGAGGCAGCGAGTGGTAACGTCCTTTCTGCCCTGATCTCAGGGCCACAGTCCCCAGTCAATGCTACGTCTGCAGTAAGCCAATAACTACAGGATTTATGCTGCTCTTTGCAGGAGGCACAGTGCTGCAGGGGAGCGAGCACAGAACCCAGTGTCCAGAGTTGTAGCCCCAGTTCTTTCACTGCCTCGCTGTGTGACTTTGAGTTGGTCCTCCACCTCCTTGAACCTTGAACTCCTTGCAAAATGGGAGTAGCAAACCTTGCTTCATCTCTCTCCTAGGATGTTAGAGTAGGAGAGGGGCCTTAGACAGCAGCCAGCAGCTCTTCCACTTGAAGAAGAGACAGCTGGGGCCCAGAGACAAAAGGGACACGGGCAAGGTCACGCAGCAGACCAGTGGGAGAGCTGGGTTCAAAGCCAGGTCTCTGAGTGCTCGGACTGCGCTTGTTTCCCTGCCTCTGTCTACACAGTGTCGATTCTCAGAGAAGGAAGAGTTTTCCGGAGGCTCGCGGCTCTGAGTCATCCAGCAGGGAGACCAGCACGCACAGAGCAGGCTGCGCTCAGTCAGTCCTGTTGTACGAATCTCAGAAAGGAAACAGAATCTCAGGCCCTGGGGTCTCTCCGTGCCAGCATGGGATACCTCCTGGTGTCTGCTGTCACCCTCGCCCTTACCTGCTTAAACTCACTGGTGGTAGTTCTGTCCTCAGCGTCTAAGCTGAGTCAACAAGTGCTGTTTGCCTGCACACTGAGCACAAAGCTCCGTGCTGAGCAGAGAAGGACAGCTTTCTTCCGCTGTGTGGGGAAAATCCATCTGCGTTGGATTTTCAGGCGGTGGAAGATGGTTTCCAAAAAGAAGATAGAGAGAAGATGGTGGGTGTTGTTATGCTTCTTTTAATTGTAAGAAATCTCTGATCTCTTGGTGCTGAGCGCATGGCAGGAGGCTTTCCTGGTTGTCAATGGCTCTTCCTCAGTCACAGCCCCAGGGCCTTCTCCTTCTTTGCTTTCGCCTTCTTCTCTTGGTTTGGTTTGGAGAACTGAGGAGACCCCTCTGGCCCTGGCTGAGCAGTGACTGAGAGGGGGAAAGGGATAGGGGCGTTGAGATTTAAAGTCTTCTTCTGAAGTCTCAGGTCCAAAATATCAAAAGTCGTCTGGATCTCATACTGCAGCAGCTCCTTCAGATGCTCCATCTGGATGCGAATGGCCTCGTTGATGAGATTTTCTAACTCCTGGAAGAAACAGGACATGGCTGGTGAACGGGGCTCTGGGGAAGGCTGAGGCTGTCGCAGACAGAGTTCCTCGACAGGATCCAATTCTCAACTCAGCCCCCTCCATTTTCTGTGTGCTAGGACCGTCCGTGCCCCCTCCAGGTCTCCTCTGCGCCCTACTCTGTGCGCTGGGAGGCTGACTTATAAGGGCTGCGTCAACTGGCTACCTTGACCTCTGACTTCTGATTGAGTTCAGCCAATGGGAGGCCCTGGAGGAGACGGGAGGATGGGAGGAGAGTGAAGCCTCTCACCCTCTTCCCAAACAGCTGTGGGTTGGCCATGACCATGGTCTCCTTCTACAGGCATGCCTGCTGTCCCAAGGCCCTCTCCTACAGCTCCTGCTCTCTTTTTAGGTTCCAGTGATGGCTTCATTCCCTCTCCCTCAGGTCCACTCTGGCAATCACCATGTTTGACTGTGTCCTTTAGTACTACCTTGTTCTGGGCCCATACAGTTCCAGATCCCCTACTTTCTGGTCAACGCAGGTTCCAGTTGGAGATCAACCGCCTTCCTTCCCCTCCTCCCCCATCTCATCCTCACATCTCAAAGTTCTGGGAGCAGGCTCCATCGGACAGACAGGGGAAAGTGCTCAGAGAGTGGGCATGGCCCCCAACTAGTCAGCCACAGGAAGAAGGGAAACTCAGCCACCATCCACCATGTTAAACAGAAGAACCTCTCTGTCATCTTAATCCGGATCATGGCATCATGGAACCCTGGAGCTATGGACCAGGTAACTGCATTTTTCCAAGCTCCCTGCCTGAGCAATCCAACAGCAGAGGAGAGTTCATGCTTGTCCCAAGGACGCCGGGGGACACGCTTCGAGCATCCAGTTGCCTAGAGGACATTTCTTTGAGATCTCATATTTTGACTTAGAGTCTCATACAAAATCTTGCATTTACCTCAGAGCGTCTCCTTGGTTGTTTTTATGTAAAAATAACGTTCTTCCCTTAGGTCCTTGGGAAGGATTGTGTTCTGAGAGGATGCACCATGTTTGTTCTGTGGTGTGAGTGTGCCCAGCTCAGGCACACCACCAGGGGCACATAGCAGAGGGGACTCCAGCCCACAAGCTCCACCAGGCAGGGACCAGCAGCAAAGTAAAGGAAGCCGCAGGGTAGCTGGGGGGCAGCAGGGAAGAGCATCTGTGTGGGGGAGCAGGAGCCGGAGGAGAGGCAGCTCCTCCCACCCCAGGCCTTGCCCACATCTTCCAGAGTAAGGTGCCCCGAAGGAGGTGAAGACAGGCTATTGCTTGCGTTCTGTCAGGTCCCCGCTGGACGTCTTAATGTACTAAGATTATGTAGCAGCCCAACGTGCTTTTCATCTATCTTAGAAGAATATCATTCATTCTATTCTGTTAATTGTTCTTTAGAGATTTTTCCAATGTTTTATATGTATTTAAAAGAGAACTTCCCAGTGCCATTCACTCTTTGGCTGACAATTCAGAAGCCAAACCCTTTTGGAACACACAGACCTGCAATGCCGTACCCCCATGCCAGCACCACCCCCTCCCCAACACATGCACACGTGTATATACACACACACGCACATACTTGTTTCTTTGTTCAAGGATGATGCAACAATGATGATATCAGTGCCTATGTATAGTTAAAAAATAAATTTAGACTCAGCCAGGCCCTCGAGAAGTTGGCTGCCCTGGGCCCAGCCAGTCATCATTTACTGAAGAGCTGGCCATGGGAGACTCTGGCTCCTGGAGCCCGAGTCGTCCTTGAGACCCATCAAGACAGCAGCCCACTTTCTCAGATCCACAGACCAGACTTTTCTAGGTTGACCCTGGACCACTGGCCCTACCCCTTAGCCTACCTCACCATATCACCCACCCTGAGCTGTCCCTCATGGCCCTTCCTTTATCGTCCCCCGAGGCCTTGATGGATACTGGCCCTGCAGGCAGACGAAGGGCACAGAGAGACTGTGGTGGAATCTGTCACCAATCGAAGATGCAGTGAAAAGAACTTGGACTTTCGGGTTAGGCAGACCTTAGCCCAAATGTGAATTCTACCACGTGCTAGCTCAGTGACCGTGGGCGGGTTGATTACATTTTCTGAGCCTCAGTTGTCTCATCATTAAAATGGGGACATGAATTATACTCACAGGGACGTTTTGTGAAACGTGCACACAAAGTGTGCAGTAGATGCTCAGTGACTGTCTGTCTCTTTTGCCCCCTCCCTGTGTGCAGACAACTGGATTCTGCCTGTGCATCCGACTCCAGCCTGGACGTTCTCTTGGCAGGAACGGGCGTTTGCACGTGGCAGATGAGCATCCTCCCCCCTCGCCAGCACAGCCTTACCTCTCTCTTCAGAACCCGGCTCCGCTGCCAGGACCTCTCTGAAAACATGCTCTCTAGCAGGTGCTCCTGCTCCAGGTGCAGTGCCTCCTTCAGGAGCAGCACGTTGGTGTGCTTCTGTGCCTCAGCCAGACTGAGCTCGCCCACCTGCTGCTCGTGCTTCCAGGTTTCCCTGTCCACGCCCTCAGCCAGCGGGAGGGGCTGGGGCGGCACACACACCACCAGGTGGGTGACGGTCAGGTTGACTTCCTGGTCCTGGCCCAGGACATACTGGTAGAGTCTGTAGTGGTAGATGAAGGTGTTGTGGAAGTAGTCGCAGAGGTCCACCAGGTGCATGGTGTTGAACTGTCCCTGGTAATCTCTGAGCTTGTTTCCCAAAATTGTCACAGCCTCAGTGATGGAGGAGCCTGTGGGCACAGAAGGGCCAGGCATTGAGTGTGAACCAGGGTAAAGCTGCATCAATAGCTGATCAATATAGGCTCTGACCCCAGAGCCCAAGTCCTACCAGCTAGTCTATATTACTATTTATTAGCTCCTGAAAGCTATGTAGTGTATCACATTGCCCTTTTTACCTTGGCTTCTAGGAAGCTCAGAGCCAATTTTATGTAGCAATTTACATTTATCCCATTTTTTCTTATATGATTATCCCACTCCTTACCTATATTTTAACTTTTAGCTCTTGTTTTAAAGACTTAGTTCATTTGTGCTTTATATTGTTTCCACTTCAAACCCTTTGGGAAGGAGATGAGAGTGTAATAAGGGGATTCTGATAAAAGTGGAGCGTGAGATGATGGAGAGACAGAGGTCCAGGTGACCATTGTACTGAAGACTTGTGTCACCGTCAGGCAAACTTTGTTTATACCGTGCAGACATCAGCTCTGAGGGGAGCCTCACGGGCAAGGATCCTCAGAGGGTGGGCCTTCTTCCCCATCTGCTCCCGTTCACTCCTCTTCCCGCCACTCCATCAGAGGCACAGGGTAGTGGGCAGGGAGGCAGAACTCACATATGACTGGGTCTTAACACAGGGGGTGGTTCAGTAAAGGATCAGGGCTAAGCAATGTGCGTGCTCTGGGGAACAGAACCAAGCAGAGAGAGAGGCGAGACAAGGGACAGAGAGAGAGCATGGTCCCTGTGTGAGGAGACCTGGGTCCTCACCCAGGCACCATCCCTGAGGCACACTGTGAACTCATCTGAGGCTCTCCTGTTCCCTGGCTCAGTGTCCACCTCTGCAGGATGGAAGCTTGGGCCAGGGTACCCCCAAGTCACCTGCTTTTGTGGATCCCCCATTTCCATCTCTGGAGACGGAGACCAAGTGCTGAATGTAGGGAGGCTGGCTTCCCTCCTGGAGTGGAGGCCCACCTGCCTTCAGGTCCCCTCCCTTGTCTCCCCTGCATGAGTCTCTCACCCCCTCTCCCCCGCCCTGGCAGCTAGGGTGCTCCCTGCTGCTTCAGGAGTGGCTGTCTCAGGGTCGCCCACACGGTTGTTTTTCAAGTCTTCCCCACCCCCATCCTATGTTCACTTTGGCTCCTCGCTCTTGGCCTTGAGTGGGAGCATTTACCGTAAATCTCCCCAGAGTACCAAGAGGGTAGAGGCATCGCTGTCTCAGAGAAATATCAGCACATGGAGCATCACTCCACTTTGAGCTTTGTGAGAGTATGCTGGAAAGTGTCCTTTGGATTTAGGCTTCAGTCTCCTGAGGGAGGGAAGAATGGAGGCCTCTGTGTCGTGCAGAATTAAAGGGGGGTGGGCTGCGCTTTCCCCTTCTTTCAAGGGAAATCAGCAGGCTCAGAGGCCTGAGAGGGTGCTCCAGTCTCAGGGTAGCATAGGGGAAGGGCACTGGGTTGGGAGGCCTCAGACAGCCCTGTCCCTTCCTAGCCTTGACACTTGGGCCTTCGCTCCCTCAAATGTAAAATGGGGGATGATTGTACATACTTTGTAGGATTGTTGGGAGGATCAAGAGGGATGACATATCCAAGTGCCTTGTACAGAGCCTGCTACAAGGTAATAATCAATAAATTCTGGAGGAGAAGGAGTTTGTTTCTGCCCTGTGAGAAAAGTCTCTCCTGGCCCATCTATCCTTCCTTCCCTCCATCTCTCCATCAATCTGTTCATCCATCTATCTCTCCATCCATCCATTGATCCATCATTCATGCATCCACCTCTTCATCCATTCATTCATCCATCATCTATCCAACCATCCATCCATCCATCTCCATCCATCCATCCATCACTCCATCCATCCATTGATCCGTCCATACATCCATCCAAGATTAATTTGTCAAACTCTTACTGAGCATCTATTAATTACTAGGCACTATGCTAGGTTCTGGCAATACAATGATAAATAAGACACATCCTTTGCCCTCAAAGTGCTTACAGGAGAGATGCGCAAGCAGATGTTACAGTACATGGGTAAAGAGGAACAGAATCAGGTGAAAGACAATGCTCCGTTGAGGATAGGGGTTTTCTTGGAGAAGATGACACATGAGCTGTATCTCAGGAGCTGAGTGAGACTGAGCCAGAAAAGACGGTGGGGGAGGCACTTCATGGGTACAGCGTGAGTGAGAGCAGAGAGGCAAGAAGCTGCATGGCATGGGTGGGGAACAAGACAGGGTTTGTTGTTGTTGGCGCCTAAAGATGGAGGCAGAAAATGGCAAGCTTTGAGGGGAGAGGTGGGTGGAAGACAGATGGGAGGGCCTTGAATGCTGTGTTCAGAAGCCAGGGCCTTGAATCCTTGGCAGTGCAGGGCCTGCCCAGGGGTGTAGGCAGGTTGTAGACGTGGTTATGCTTGCCTTGAGCTCAGTCACATTGACGGTCATGTGGTGGCCTGTGGGGAGACAGTGACCCAGTCCAGGTGGGAGTTGCCGTGGTCTGAGAGTGCCAGGCCAGCAGGCGTGGGGGAAGGAGCAGAATGAGAGGCAGGACTGAGGGTCAGATGTGGGGCGTGATGGAGACCTGCACGACTCCTGGGTTCTTATGAAGGACACGTGGGGAGTGGTGGGGCTGCCAACAGAATACAATACAGGTGGACGTTCACCTCCAACTTGACCCCTGCCCTCAGAGAGCTTCTGATCTGGGGAAGAGGAGACAGTTGGCAGATGACATCCACCTCTTAATCTCAGCCCCAGCTCAGGGCTCTGTGCACTGTCGGAGCCGACAGATAGTGAGTGAGTAAAGGGACACATTCTGATACGTTAAGTGCAGTGAAGGGGCTGTTCATTTATCCACTCAACAGATATTTTTTTAGGGGCTTTCCATGTGCGCAGAACTCTTCCAGGTCCCAGGGAGGCAGGGAAGGGATAGGGAGAAAGCACACAGCTGGTGTAACTCTGCTCAGTGCCACACAGGGCTGGGCGGGCACCCAAGAGGAGGAAGTGACCTTCTCAGGGAAGTCAGGGAGTGGTTCCCTGAGGAAGTGATGAAGGAGCTGAGACGGGCAGTATCAGAGGAGTTACTGGGCAAAGAGAGGTGAGAAAGAGTGAAGCAGGCAGGGAGGACAGCGTGTGCAAAGGCCCCGCGATTGGAGAAAGCATTGCACATTTGAGGAACTGAAAAGTTAGGATGGCGAGTTGGTATGCTAGAGAGCAACCAGTGTGGGGGCCACCTCGTTCTCAATGAGGCTGGGAGGTGAACAGGGACTGGGCAGTGCAGGGCCACATAAGCCCCTATGGGAGGAATTTGGTCTTCATCCTAAGATGCTATTAAAACAATGACCCTTTCAAGACATGAGTCAGATCATGATCTGCCTGTCATACTTTACACTGTGAAAGCTTAAGTTGTCCAGAGGCCCATCCATCCCTTCCTTCTGACTCAGTTTCTCCTCTCCCCCTCTCCCTCTGCTCCTGGCACACTGGCCTCAGCCCAGGATGCCGTTCCCTACACAGGACTCTCTCCTCACCCCCAGGAGTGCCACGATCCCACAAAGGCCTCTCCAGCCACCCCACCCCACACCCCCTAGAAACTAGTTATTTTGCCATATCAAGCAAAAGTTGAAAGTTACGTTTAATGAAAATAATTTTTAAGAAATTAATTTTGTCAATTGTTTTGCTAGGAAAACAGATTTGAATGATCTTTTAAGATTTGATTGCATTGCTATGATCATTATATATTTATATAAATTGCTTATGGAATTTGACATATGTAATTTTTGCATGTGTTATTTGACAATTACAATTTATGTAAGTAAACAAATTACATCAAAAGTTACTCAGAGAGTGCAGTTATAATGTTAAGTTAGATGGTGATAGCTTTTTAATTTTTAATTTGACTTAAAAATTTTAGTCATCTTTAACCCTGCATCGAATACAAAAAGCTTCATATATGTATAAAATAGATATACATAGAGTATATAATTAGATATACAGAATTTAATAGGGGTGGGAGATTAGAGAAAAGTGTCTTAAACAGCTTCTCAATATGATCCAGCAATGCCAATCCTGAGTGTACACCCAAAGGAGACGAAACCAGGATCCTGAAGAGGTATCTTCAAGGCAGCATCTTTTACTGTAGCCAAGATATGGAGACAAGAAAAGCATCTGTCGATGGACGAATGGTTAAAGAAATTCTTCTCTCTATAGATAGATAGACAAGTAGATAGATACACACACACACACAATGGAATATTATTCAGCCTTAAAAAAGAAGGAAATCTTGTCGTTTGCGACAGCATGGATGGACCTGGAGGACATTATGCTAATTGAAACAAGCAAGACACAGAAAGACAAAGACTGCATGATCCCATTTCTATGTGGAATGTAAAAAAGTGGAACTCACAGAAGCAGGGAGCAGAATGGTGTTGCCAGGGGCTGGGGAGAGCAATGGGGAGATGGTCAGAAGGCACGAACTTACAGCTGTGCAAGATGAGTAAGTTCTGGAGATCTAATGCACAACGTGGTGCCTGTAGCTAATGATACTGTTTTGTATACTTGAAATTAAGAGAGTAGATCTTAAATGTTTTCACTACAAATAAATGTGGTAACTGTGTGAGGCGGTGGATGTGTTAATTAGTCTGATCGTGGTAATCATTTCACAATGTATATGTATATCAAAACATTATGTGCATTTAAATACTTATTTTCAATTACTGACAAATTGTCAAATTTTTGTTTGTCAGTTATAGCTCAGTAAAGCTGGCGGTGGGGCGGGAATCACGCACATAAAATATTTTAAAAAGTAAAATGGCTCCTAAGGGAAGCAATCATAAAAAAAGGTTGAGACGCTGATTTAGCGTGCCACAGTGTGCAAGGCACCTTCCTCCCCATTTTCTCATCTGATTCTCACAGCTTCTCACCCGTGTCATGGCGACCCATCTGGCACTGGGACGACCTGTGCATTTTGGCCAGTCAGGCCTTTGATCCCAGGAACCCGTCCACCCCTGAACCTGGGTCCCAGGTTGGCAGTGGGGAGG